GTGAGCGGGGGGAGCCGGCAATGGGGGGGCCATGGGGGGTTTGGGGCTCCCCTCTGCTGCCCCCACCCCACATCCCCCCCAACAGAGCGTCAGGGGAGGCAGAGATCGCCCCCCTCCCGCCTCTGACACCCCCAAATCTGCCCCGCAGAGGCTCCCTGGGGCCCTTCTGCTTCCACGAGTCCTTTTGCACACCCTTTCAGCACAGAGGTCCCACCAGGCAGTGATGGGACCCAGCAACGCCCCCAGGCCCCACCGATGTCCTTCACACCCCCAGGAGCCACCCCGGGCCCCCCCAGTCCGCTCCCTCACCACTCCACCCCACAGTGGAGGATCCCCATATCCTGCTGTGGGGTCCCCCCTTCCCAGCGCCCAGATCCACTCGTGATTCCCAAGGGAGACAAAATCAATCCTCCCCCAGCTGCCGAAAATTCCCCCCCAGGAGAGAAATAACCTCGGGGAGAGGGTGGGGAGCAGGGGAAGGGTGGAGGTGTGGGGTGAGGGATGCGGGATTGGGGGTGCAGGATGGACAATGAGGGGTGAGGGAGGGAGGGAGGGATGCGGGAGGGTGGGGGAGGGATGAGGATGAGGGATGTGGGAAGATGGAATGCGGGGTTTGGAAACATGGAATGCGGCGTTTGGGATGCAGGAACATGGAATGAGGGATGCAGGAACATGGAATGCGGGGTTTGGGATGCGGGAACATGGAATGCGGGGTGAGGGAACGTGGAATGCGGGGTTTGGGATGCGGGGTGACCGAGGCAGGGCGAGGTGTGGGATGATGGGTGCGGGATTCGGAATATGGGATGCAGGGTGAGGGATGCAGAATGCGGGGTGAAGAATGGGGGATGTGGAAAGCAGGACGTCACATGGGGGAGGTGAGATGATGGATGCGGGATAATGGATGCGGGATGCGGGATATGGGATGCGGGATGAGCTCGGCCTGCTGTTGCTATGGCGACAGGGATGGGGGAGCACAGGCGGTTCCCGGCCCTTCCTGAGGACTCAGACGGGGAGGATGTGGGGGTTCAGCCCTGTAGGGGATAATGGGAACCAGAGGCTTCCACTCCTCCAGGGGAACATGTTCCCCTCTCCCCAGCACCCCAAACTTGTGGGTCTAACCCAACTCTCAGTCAGACCCCCTCTCCCCTGGGGGACCCCCACCCTGTAAGAACCCGGGGTGCTCCGGCTGCCCTCCCGGGAGGGTCAGGACTGGGATATTTTGGGGGTTTGATGGAGTGGGGGGGCAGTTGAGCTCTGCCCTCCCCGCCCGGCTCCTGGCAGGGCCGGCCGAGCGCAGCGGCCGCAGCGGCGCCGGGATCTGCAGCCTGCAGGGAGGGGCTGGGGCCGCACCTGCATCCATGGAGCGGAGAAAGGGAAAGGGAAAGGGAAAGGGGGGCCGGGGCTGCGGGAAAGGGGGGCCGGGGCTGCAGCTACATTCCAGCACCGCGATGATCACTATCCCACAGGACCCGGTGTCCCCCCACGGGCTGCATCCCAGGTGGGGCCATGGGCTGATCCTGGGGGGATCTGATGGCTCGGGGTCCTGGGTGTGTCTCCTCCGACCCCCCAAATCTGCCTCTCTCTGCCGAGGGCACCCCAGGCCTCTCTCTGCCGAGGCCGCCGGTGGGGCCTGGATCCATCCAGCAATTTTCTGGCAGGGCAGATGCGGCAGCAGATGAAGCAGCAGCTGCACTGCCCAGCACACCCTGCCCATCCTCCACTCTGCCCAGGGTGCTCACTGCCCACCTCGCTGCCCACAGTGCCCACTTCACTGCCCACGGTAGCCACTGCACTGCCCACGGTAGCCACTGCCCACCACCCCGCGGTCCTCTGCATTGCTCATCGCCGCAGTGCCTTGCCCACTGGCCACTGCTCACCACATGTGATGCCACCTTGGCCAGGGCCACCTCAGCCTGGGGAGCCCTGGGGATACCTCAGGCTCCCTGCACCCCTCCAGGTTCACTCCAGCCTGGCAGCAGCTCCGGGGACGGGGCTGGGGACAGCGACTGCAGCCATCAGCCCAGTGCAGCCACATCGCCAAAGCCACAGCTGAGCCCCCGGAGCCCCCGGGGACATTAAACAAACAGCGTGTTGTCACCAACCCGGGCTGATCGACCCGGCCCCGGGGACCCCCGGCCACAGCAAACCCCCCCCGGGGAGCACAGCCCCCCCCCACGTCTCGACCCTGCACACATGTGGGGGCACACAGAGGGACACAGGGATTTGAGATCCATCATCCTGACACAGCATCGACCCCGCAGCCCCCGCACAGCACCTGCACACACACACACCGACATCGTGGCCTGGGGATGGATGTGGGGCGAGCATCGGGGTCCTCAACACCCCCAGCACAGCCCCCCCCACAATGTAGGGCCCCTCTTACCCCCCCTACACCCCGGGGCGCCCGTGGGAGCCAGCGGGGTGGAACGTGCTGGAGCCAGCAGCCACCTCCCCACCCCCCTCCGGGGTGCCTGGGGACACACACCCCTGCCCGGGGACAGGGCACTGGCACCCTTGGGGTGCCCCCCGGGGTGGGGTTGACGTGCTGATTTAGAGGCCGAGGTTTTTGAGGGACCGGTTTGGGAGGTGGATTTAGGGTGCGGGTTTGTGGGGAGGGTTTGGGGGTGCTGGTTTGGGTGAGGTTTTGGGGCTCCGAGACCGGGGCTCGGTCACAATCCCCGGCCCAGTCGTGCTGGGGGAGCATCGGGAGGGGGGAACTGCGGGGAGCCGAGCTCGCATCGGGGCGGGGGAGCTGCTGTCACCCCAGGGGCGACTCCCCCGCCTCGCCCGCAGGATGGAGATGGGAATGGAGATGGGGATGCGATGGGAATGAGGATGGGAATGAGAAGGGGATGGGAAGGGGATGAAGGTGAGAATGGGGACGGGAGGTTCTGCTCCGTCTTTTTCCCCCCCTCCCGCGGACTCCCCGCAGAGCCCCGGCATTGTCCGGCCTTTGTCCCTGCAGGATGCGGGGGATAAACGCTGCCCGAGCCTCCCGATTCACCCTGAACCCCCTGATCCGCCCTAAACCCTCCTGTCCCCCCAATATCCGCCCGATCCCCCCGATCCCGCGGGACGGAGCCGCGCCCGCCGCAGGATGCAGCGCAGCGGGGGCCGGGGGCATCCTCGCCGCGGGGAGGGGGCGCAGATCGGGGCCCCCCCGGTGCATCCAAACCCCCGCAAGCCGACACCGCACCCCGATCTCCCCCGGCCCCGCCGCGCAGCTTCCCCCGATTCCCCCCATCCCCCGGCCGGAGCCGCCGGGACCCCCGGGGGGGCTCGGGGCGCTCGGGGTGCGGGGGCAGGTGCGGCCGTACCTCATCCCCGGCGGTGCGGAGCGGCGCGGGGCGGTGCGGAGCGGTGCGGAGCTGGGCGAGGCTCCGGCGCGGCCCCGAGCAGCCGCATCCCGCCCCCGCCCCCCCGCTCCCGGTCGGGATTTTCCAGCGGCGCCGCCGCCGTTAGAGGGCGGCACCTGGGGCTCCTCGCGCCCCCCCCGGACTGTGCCGGGCGGGGGGAGACGGGGTCCCCGGGTAAGGCTCCGTTCCCCTCCATCCGCCTCTTTTCCATCCTCCGCAAAAACGCCGGGATCTGCCCCGTCCCCATCCCCATGTCCCGGAACGCACCTGCCGCTCCCGACCGGACCGGTCCTTACAGAGCGAACCGGTCCCTCCTGACCGAACCGGCCCCCTCAGACCGAACCGGCCCCCTCAGACCGAACCAGCCCTCCCGGCCGAATCCGTCCCCACGAGCCGCCCGGCGCTGTCCCCATGTCCCTGGGGACTCACCCAAGGTGTGGCAGCACCGGCTGAGCCCCGGTGTCCCCCCAGGATGAGCGGGACCCTCATGACGACCCCAATCCCCTCCGTGACCGCGGCTTCTGCCATGTGCTCAGGCCACTGTCACCCACCGAGGTCACTGTCACTCACAGAGGTCACTGTCACCCACAGAGGTCACTGTCACCCACAGAGGTCACTGTCACCCACCTCCCACTGGAGCATCCTGGCCCTCTGAGCATTGTCCCCCGGGACTGAGAGTCCCCACACGGCCCCGGCTGGACAGGGACCCCGGCTGGGCAGTGAGTGACCCCGGCTGGACAGTGAGTGACCCCGGCTGGACAGTGAGTGACCCCAGCCCTCCTCTCCCTGTCGCCACCAGTGAGGGTGGGAGGACTCTCAAGGTGACATTGCTTGAGCAGAAAGGGACCTGGAGTCAGGGGACCTTCCCTAAAGGACAAACGGCCACTGGGAAAGGGATGTGGAGGGTGTGAGATTTAAAGAGCTGGAGCTGGGCCCCAAGGGATCCCTGAGGAGCGCCCAAGGGACCCTGGCCAGCAGCAGGGACGAGGCAGGACCACCCTGGGGACAAATGGTCCCTCTTCACTGATGGCTTCCCCGTGTGACATGGCACTGGTGATGAGCATTGGGTTCATTTGGTTCAGTTCAGGGACAAACCAGATCATCCACCCGAGATCAACTCATCTTCCTTCCCATCATCACCCTCATCCCTGAGAGCATCCCCCAAAACACATCCTTCCCTCCCAGCCTGAGCTGCAAACCCCCAGCTCACCCCCACCCGATGCCACCAAAATCCTGTCACCAAAATCCTTTGGGTTCCCAAATTAAGGATGAGAAAATGATGGTCTGGGGTTTTGACATCCCGTGCTGGGCCTTGGCAGCTTCTCCAGGGGCTCAGGCTGGTTCTGAGCCCTGAGAACCTTCCTTGCCTTCCCCCAATTCCACATTTCCGCATTCCCAGTGTTTGTATTAACAAATAAAGTTAAATACATGGAAATGCTGTAAACATAAAGTGCCATTCCCCACTTCCCAGCAAAGAGCAAGGAATTTCCTTCATTTACTAAATCCACACAATTTGTTTGCTGCAGGTGTCGACAGGAAGCAGTGCCAAAAAACCTGGGAATACTCAGGAAAATACCCAATCAGGGTGGAGTTTAGCACACCCCAGGCCACCCCCGGGGGAATGGAGAGGCAGGAGACAGACGATCCAGGTGGAATTTCTTTATTTACACTGGACGAGGCTCCTCCCTTGCCTCCCGGAGTTACTTGAGCGGGATGAAGCGGGAGGAGTGGGTGGCGCCGATGCCGGGCCGGCCGTGCTTCACGGGTTTGTACGTGATGGAAAACTCGCCCAGGTAGTGGCCGATCATCTCGGGCTGCAAGAGGAGAGATCCGTGCTGGGACAGAGCCAGGGGGCACAGGGACATCCCCATCGCCATCCCGGGGCTGGCAGGGGCCTGGCACAGCCGGTTATTCCCGCTGAGCTCCTCCCCTGGTGCCTTGATGTGGAGCCAGAGGGGCTTCCCCAGCTCTGCCCCTCGCGGGAGAGGTGACACAGGAGCCACAGGGGCATTTGTGCCCTTCCAGGTGGGATTTAATGCAAAAAAATGACATTTAATCCCAGTGGTGGTATCAAGTGACACCACCACCCCGTGGGTAATTCCATTCCTGTGAATGTTCAGGGATCTGTTTCAAACCAAAGCGGTGCTGGCAGGCTGGGAGCCAGGGCTGAGCACATGGATCACTCCACAGCTACATCAGTGCTTCAGAGCCACACTGAGACCCCTCTGGGAGCTCGCCAGCCCTGGGATGGCACCTCCAGGTGTCCCTCTGAGCCAACCCCGCTCCAAGGAGCATCCTGGAGCTCTCAGGGTGGCACCTCCAGGTGTCCCTCTGAGCCAACCCTGGCTCCAAGGAGGAGCCTGGACCCTCCCAGACACAGGCAATGAGTAGGATTTAATAACAGAATTAGAAGTGAACACTCCAGACGCTGAGCTCGGTGTGAGAGCCACCTGCCAGGCGCCAGCTCACCTTGATCTCCACCTGGTTGAAGGTCTTGCCATTGTAGACGCCCACCATGCTGCCCACCATCTCTGGCAGGATGATCATGTCCCTCAGGTGGGTCTTCACCACCTCGGGCTTCTCCATGGGCGGCGCCTCCTTCTTGGCCTTGCGCAGGCGCTTGAGCAGCGAGTGCTGCTTGCGGCGCAGGCCCCGGTTCAGGCGGCGCCGCTGCCGCGCGCTGTACAACTGCATCAGCTGCTCGCTGCAAACGGGGACAGGCACGGCTCAGGGGACACCCAGGGACACCGGCCTGAGCGTGGGGTATGGCCTGGACACAGCCCAGAGACAGCACAGCCACGGAGATACCCAGACAGAGCCTGGGGAACAGCCCAGGGACCCCAAACCCAGCCTGGGGAACAGCCCAGGGACCCCAAACTCAGCCTGGGGAACAGCCCAGGGAACCCAAACTGAGCTTGGGGTATGACCTGGACAGAGCACAGAGACAGCACAGCGACAGAGTTACCCAAACTGAGCTTGGCCTCGTGAGACCCCCAGAGACCCCAAACCCAGCCTGGGGAACAGCCCAGGGACCCCAAACCCAGTCTGGGGTATGGCCCGAGGACATTTCCAGGGATTCCAAACTGAGCCTGGGGAACAGCCCAGGGACACCAAACTGAGCTGGGGTTACAGCCTGGGGAGACCCCTCAGGGCCCCACAGCCACAGAGTTACCCAGAGTCAGGCTGGGGTACAGCTCCAAGACCCCCAGGGACCCCAAACTGAGCCTGGGGAAGTCCCAGAGACAACCCCAGAGTTACCCATGCTGAGCCTGGGGTACAGTCCCAAGGGATTCCCAGGGCCTCATACTCAGTGATGTTACCTGGACTGAGCCTGGGGACATCCCCAGGGACACCAGACAGAGCCTGGGTATGGCTCAGGGTCCCCAACTGAGCTTGGGGTATGGCCTGGGAGACCTCTGGGAGCCCAAACTGAGCCTGGGCTACAGCCTGGAGAGATCCCATAGGGACCCCTCAATAACGGGGTTATCCAGAACAGGCCCAGGGAACCCCCCCCAGCCACAGAATAACCCGGAGAGAGCCTGGGGTACAGCCCCAGGAGACCCACAGGGCCCCACACCCAGAGAATTATCCCGACTGAGCCTGGGGACACCCCCAGGGATCCCAAACTGAGCTTGGGATACGTCCTGGAGAGACCTCGAGCGACCCCGAAGGCAATATTCCCAAACTAAGGCTCAGGGAGATCCCCAAGAGTCAGGGGGTCTGAGGAGACCTCGAGGATCCCAAACTGCGCCTGGGGAGACCTTAAAGTCCCTGTGTTACCCAGGCTGAGGTTGGGGAGACCCCCGGGACCACAAAATAAGTGTCACCCCAAGTGAGCCCGGCCTCGAGGAGCTCCAGGGATCCCATACCCACAGCATCACCCGAACGGAGTGTGGAGCACGGCCCCGGGGCCCCACACTGACGGTGTCAGCCACCGAGGGATTTTAAACAGCCCAAAAAGCAGCAGCTGAACACCCAAACCCCGCGTTACTGCCGGTATTTGAACACAACTCGAGTATGGGGCAGCTCCCCGACCCGCAAACCCCAGCCCGGGGGGGCTCCCCAGCCCTTACTAGGACATGTCGAGCAGCTGGTCCAGATCCACCCCGCGGTAGGTGAATTTACGGAAGGTTCGCTTCTTCTTCTGCTCCACCTCCGCCTGCAGCGGGAGAGGGGGGTCAGGACAGGGGGTCGCGGCCGCCCGGGAGGGGGATCAGGGGATTCAAGGACCTTCCCCGCCCCGCACACGGGAAGGCCGCGGCCCCACCGAGCTCCGCGGGGCGCCCAGGCCGCTCCCTCCCCTCAGCCCCGTTCCCGCCGCGCTGCGCTCCGTCCGGCCGGGGCATCCACGGCCCCCGCAGCGCCCATTCCCCGTCCCACAGGGAAGCCCCGAGCCCTGGACGGCGCCACCGCGGCGGGTGAGGCCCAGATGGGGCGCGGATGACGGCGGATGGAGCCCGATGGTGCCGGCAGCGACTCCCCCGCACCCACCATCTTGGCCGGGGCTGCTCGGAAAGGCCGGGCCTGCACCGGAAGCGGAAAATCTCGCGAGAGCGGCGCGGGCGGAACGGGCGGAGAAGCCGCGCGCGGGCGGCACTTCCGCCCTCACTGCGCTTAAAGGGGCCGCACCCGCAGCGCGGGGACACGGCGGGGACACGGCGGGGACACCCGTGAGGGACGGACTGAGCCTGGGGTATGGCTGGAGGACATTCCCAGGGACCCCCACATCGAGCCTGGGGAACACACACAGGCTCCTCAAACTGATCCTGGGGTATGGCCCAAGGACATCCCTAGGGACCCCGAACTGAGCCTGGGGACATCCCCAGCGATCCCGAATTGAGCCTTGGGTATGGCCCGAAGATATTCCCAGGGATCCCAGACTGAACCTGGGGAAAAGCCCAGGGACACCCCCACAGGGACCCCAAACTGAGCCTGGGGAACAGCCCAGGGAAGCCTCCCCTTCTCCCCCGAAGCTGCCCCTCACGTTCCAATGAAGCCCCTCCTTGCCCCTGGCCCGAGGTGGAAGCCGGCAGTGACAGGTCAGAGTCACCTGGACGGCAGCGCCACAGGGACAACCTGGAGCTCGCAGCCACTCCGGGCCAGCTCGGAGCATCCCGCACGGTTTTTGGAAGGCACCTTCGCGTTCCCAGGGGAGGCAGCAGCTCTGCGGCTCGGGCTGCGGGCAGAGGGCTGGGTGAGGACGCGAGGAACCGGCTCGTTCCGCACAGGTCGATCCGGTCCGGGGCCCGGCTGGAGGCTCCAGATCTAACGGCCCACACGGGCCTGGAGGAGCTGGTTCTGCACAGGCAGGATCCAAATCCAAACGCTTTTATCCCAGAAGAGGGTGAAGATGTTGGGTGTGCTCCGCTCCGGGTGTCCCCAAGGCTCCAGGGTGGTGCCGTGCCATTTCCTGAGGGAGTCCTGCTGGTCTCAGAAGTGACACCTGCACAAACATCGCTGGAGCAGCTCCTGTCCCAGCAGGAGTTTTGAGCTCACGGATGTAACGGAGTGAGGAGCAGCCAGGAGGATTCGAGCCTGGAGGATTCACGGGGAGCGGAGCCAGATCCACACAAAATACAAAATATCCTCTGAACTGCTGTAAGTCCTGCCAGGAGCAACTCAGTGACCTCCACATCCCAGACACATCCCCAATTCCACCTCATTAACAGTGATTAATTACAACAGACAGGGCTAACGAGCACAGACACAGCCCCCGGGGAAGGATCCATGGGCAGGATTTGGGGCTACCCTTGAGCCAAGGGACACTTCCACCTCAGGGAGATCCTTTCCCACAGCTTAGCCCCACATTCCAGAGCCAAACCCCAGGGTGATATTCCAGAAGATGCAAGGCAAAGTTACAGACACTGATTTCCACCGAAGATGCTGAGAAATCCATAAATTACCCAATTTTCTGCAGTGCCTTGAGGTGAAGGGTGAAGAGCAGCATTTGTGTCACTGCCAGCACATCATGTGTGACCTAAGACAGGGCCAGTCCAAGGGTTTGAAGAGCCCTTTGTCAGGTGAGATCTGAGCCAGGCTGGAGCCCTTCAGCACGGAGGATCTGGTTCAGCCCAGATCTGATCCAGATCAGAGCCCTTCAGCACATCAACTCTGATCCAGGCCAGAGAAAAGCCCTTTGCCAGGATGGATCCAATCCAGGCTGGAGAATCCTTCACCTCCTTGGATCCCCTGCAAGTCCAAGCCCTTCACCACAAGGTTGGATCAAAGCCTTTCCCTGGGATGGATCTCTTGCAGGTGGGATCCAGTCCAGGCTGGAGGATCCTTCACTGGTTGGACCCAGTCCAGTCCAAGCCCTTCACCACATCAGGTTGGATCAAAGTTCTTCAAGAGCTGGATCTGATCCAGGTTGGAGGATCCTTCCCCAGGTCAGATCCCATCCAGGAGTGGCTTCCTGGCAGTGACACCACACAGGCCCAGCAAAGCTGCCCCTGAGGACTCTCAAGGGACTTCTCCAGAAAACCCACATTCACAAAAACAAAACAAAAAAATACCCATAAAAATGGAGACAGGCTGGTATTTCTAATCCAAAGGTTCTTGTCTTTATTCAAACCAGGGCTCAGCACTGCTCAGTGCCAAACGCACCAAAACCTTTTTGCCTGAGGGAAATGCATTTCTGGCCGAGGCAGCGCCAGGGGAGGGCAGCGTGGAGCCCGGAGCCAGCGCTCCCCGCCTGCCTCTGAGCGCCCGCAGCTCCTGCCCTGGCCCAGCTCCGCCCCCCCAGAACAAACAGCAAAATACACTCAGCAGGTTTCTGTCAACTCCCAGAGTTTCGGAACCCTCCGCCCCAGCGCTGCCGTGGGGAGGGAGGGAGGGAGGGGCTGCAGCTCTTCCCCCGCCTCCGACAGCGCTCACGGAAACCCTGTTTTAAATTAAAAAATAAGCCAGCATACATAGTAGAAAATTTCTCTTAAAAATTTCACAATCTGTAAATGTATATATTTTTTTTCTTTTAAACATAAAAGTTTACAATATACGGTAAAACAAAGGCTCAGGAAAAATAATTTCAAAAAAAAGAAACCTGAAGTTTTGAATTAAAGCTGAAGACATTTTTAAAACCCTGTAATTTGAACCAGTGACATTTTCTTTATTTGTGCTGATGGGTTAGAGAAAGGAAAAAAATCTTTAAAAACTGCAGTCCAAACACCCACAGCTCTGCCTTCAGAAGCCATCTTGCCCCCAACCCCTCCCCCCGAAAAAAAATTGTTGTTAGGTTGGTTTTTTTTTTGTTTTTTTTTTTTTCTTTCTTCCATCAAGTAATGTGATTGTCACAAGTTCAGAAGTCTGGGATGCCGGGGTTCAGCTGGGCCCAGAGATCCCTGCGGACAGCACTCACTCCCTGATTGCCAGCCCAGGCTAGCGCCGGTAGGGGTGGAATCCTTGCACGTTGTGGTTCTGTCCCCGGCCGAAGCCGCTGCCCCCGGCGGGGGGGCCGCTGGACGGCGGCACCGAGGGGCCTCCGTAGGGAGGGGGCTGCTGGCTGGGGTCAGAGAAACCTTGTCCAAACCCGCTTAAGTCTTGTCCATACCCTGGGGAGGAGGGAAAGGCACAGGATGAGCTTCCAGGGAAGAGCTGGGACAGAGCCCCGTTGTTTTTCCTGCTAGTCATGGCTTTTTCCCCACTTTTAAATCTCTCTTTTCCCCCAGTGTGGGACTGCTTTTTAACCAGAGTTCTTCAAAAAAGTCTTGAGGGAAGGGAAGGGAAGGGAAGCAGTCACAGCCCTCAGAATTTGTGGGAGCTGCTCTCTGGGAGGATTCTGGCTCACTCTGAACCCCCAGTTACCTCCCTGTATTTGTCCTTTTGGATCCATTCATTCTTTGCAAGTGATTTGATGGCCTTGGGTGGAAGGAGATGCATTTTTATATTAAGTTTCTGCATCGTCCCAGCTGGAGCTCCTGGGGTGAGCCCCAGACCTCAGCCCTTGGTCTCCAAGCTCTTCCCTGGCTTCCAGGGTGTGAATCCCACACCTGACACTGCCTTTCCTCCACAGGGAGGAGCAGCAGCTCCGGGGTCCTGCAGGGATTTTCCTTCCTCAGAGAGGAAAAAAGCAGAAGGGAAAAGGTGTGCAGGAAGAGGGAGCTGTGATTGGGGTAATCCCAGCCAGGCTGGCAGTTCAACCATCTGCTCACAGCTTTGGGGTGCTTGGGAGCAGTTTTGATTTTGGGGTGGGTTTTTTATTGGCTAAAAGCTGTCAGATCCAGCACAGGTAAGAGATGGAGCCAGAAATCCCCCAGACTGAGAGTGCACTTAGCAGATTTTGGCTTTGCACACTCAAAAACTTTCCTGCACCGATCAAACATTCCTAAAATTTCCTTTTAAAACACACATAAATACTGAGATCTGCATCACAGGCCCCTCTGGAGAGAATTTAGGGACAGGGAGAAAAAAAACCAGGGGGTTTTCTTTCCAAAAGAAAAGACTGGCTGGAATTCCTGTTACCAACACAAAATTTACAACTAGATGTAAATTAAGACGACTGAGAAATTGAGAAATTTAATTCAAATTCTCATAATTAAATATGACTCTTAATCCTGGCATCAGTGCCAGCCCCTGCTCTGAAAGATGCTATTAAAGCTCCTAATTACCAAGAGCATTTCTGCAGTGCTGCCTCTCTCTGTGCAGGCTTAGAGCAGGTTTAACTCTCTTAATCCCAAACAAAGTCTCTTAGCACGTCTTCAGCCGTTCAATTTCAAGCTCTGCCTGTCCCTCAGGACTTGCTGGCACTAATGAGCACTAAAACACAGCGAGCACAGGCTCTGGGAGCTCCAAATGCTCCTCCTGGCATTTGTTCAGACACAGATAAGCAGGCTCCCAAAACTACAAGGGGATTGTTTGCCAAGGGGTGAGGCTGGGAGTGGAAAAACACAACCCTGGAGTTGCCCTCCCTGCACACAGTGGTGCAAAGCCCAGGTTTATGATGAAGGAAAAGCACAGCACACAGCTGGCACAGCCCCTCAGGACTGCCTGCCTGCCCTCCCTGGGTCTGCTGCAGCCCCTCTGCTCCTCTGGGCTGTGCCCATTGTGTGGTCTGAGTGTTTGGCTCCAAAGCTGAGCCTGGATTCACGTCCAGGATAAAGCCTGGCCCAGGCTGTGGGGGTGAGCAGGCTCAGCTCACTGTGGGGTTTGACCCAGCTCAGAGTCACTGCCCTGACACCAAACCCCATCCCTGCCTCTCACCCTCTCCAACAGCCCCGGCAAGGAAAATCAGGGAATTTCTGCAGGACCTGCCCGAGGCTCCTCCTCCCTGCTCAGCCTGACCTTGGGAGTGCAGACAAAGCTTTGGGGTGTGGCCTGAAGGGGCTGGAGCAGACAAACCCATCTTAGTGAGAACTGAGGGGACTGCAAGGACGAGCCTCAAGAGCGCCCTGCACGGAGATAATGAATTTTTAATTATTTTAAATTAATGCAATTCATTAATTTGATTTTGCAGGGTGAGTGTTAGTGCTGACACTCATCCCGGGTGCACCCACTGAAGGATTTAGGACGCTGCCCAGGATAAACCTGACAGTGCCCTACACTCATTAGGGAGCTCTGTGGCTCTTTAAAGCCCACGAGCTTTACACATTTATGTAAATATATGCAAATCAGGGACACTTGCATGGATGAGGCAGCCACAGCTTCTCTGGGAGATCTGTGCCAGGGTCTCAACACCCTCACAGTGAGGAAGTTTTTCCTAATATCCAGTCTAAACCTATTATTTTCCAGATCGAAGCCGTTCCCCTTGTCCTGTCACTACAGCTCCAGATGAAGAATCCTTCTCATTGAATCCTTCTCCATCAGATCCTTCCTAAACTTCCAACACCTCACAAACTCTGGCTCCTCACTGACTCTAACTGGCTGTGCAGGGATTTGTGCTTTATTTAGAAGGGTCCAACCCACTCCAAAAAGAGTCTGCAAAGAGCCAAGTGCTGTCAGAACAAGAAAAACTTCCTCGACTCACAAGGGCAGAACTATCCATGGAATCAACTGTGTTTGTAAGAAACAAATGAAGAAACATTTCAAACTCATCAACATGAGAACATGCTGCTCCACAAACACATCTCAAGGGCTCATCTTCCTTCAGAGGCTGCTTCACATTGCTAGAATGTTGAGTATTGTCTAGTTAAATAAGCTTTGTGAAGTTTTCATCTCATAGCAGTTTCTGTAGGAATTGAGGCAGCACTACCACATGAAGAACGTGTTCCAGCAGGGAACAGCCTGAATCCACGGGGCTGCTGCATGAAAAATTCCCTTCAGAAGTGAAAACTGACCAATTACAATCCCTTAAAAACAACATTAGTACAGAGCTCTTTGGAGAGATCTCTGTAGAGATATTTGGAGAACACTGCTGAAAAACAGTGAGAATGAAAATTCCCTCTGAGCTCCCTCAGGGAGCAGCAGCAGAAATCTTACTCTGGAGCACAGGCACTTGTCTAGCAATTTTAAAAAGAATTTGTTTTTTTGTAGCACTGCCTGCCTTGTTTAAAACTTGTTAGCTCAATGCCTTCTACCTCAAAGTTACCTACAGAGAACAACAAAGCTTTGCACAAAACTGCATCTCCAGAGAGATGGGGAAGGGATGGGGAAAGGGAGGAAAAGGCACCGGATTGGATCCTTACACATGCACTGCCTGTCTCTCCAAACATTCTGCTCTTACCTCTTCAAGTCTGTGCTCCAAGGTCTGGAGACACAAAAAAAAAAAAAACTTCACTACAAGCTCTGTGAAGCTCTTGGAGTGGAAAGTTTTAGCTACAGGTTTGGAGAGAGTAGAAACCAGGAATTCATCGTGGCAGTGCATGAATCCCTGAAGGTTATTTTACAGCACAAAAGCAACACTTTAGAGCTAAGAAAACTCCCTCTGGCTACAATACTGCAGGATTTAAGGATGGCTTGAGCTGGTGGAAGCATTCCCACCTCGGGGAAGTGCCTGCAGCAAACTGTGTCCAACACTCTGCAGCCAGGACTGAAGGCAGAGGGAGGGGATAAATTGCAGCAGTTACTCACCAAACTGACTGTAAGGGAATTCTGGCTGAGCAGTCGGGGGTTTGCTCATGTCCTGAGTTGCCTGAGATGGTGGTGGTGGAGGAGGAAAAGCGAGTGGTGCTGCCCCTGGAGTGGCAGGTGGAGGGGGGACTCCAGGAGGGGCAAACTGGTCAGGTGGAGGAGGTGGAGCACCGTAACTAAAACCTGCAAGGACAGAACAGGTGAACATCAACCTCCTGCTTGGCTTTAGAGATGATTTAAAACCGTTTCAAACCAACATTTCCAAGGCTATGAAACCTCAGGGGTTTGTGACCGGTGGCTGCACAGATTCACCATGACACGTTGGTCACTGCCATGGCTCAAAGATCTCAGCAGCTCACCTTGCACAGGTGGGAGAAATGTCCCCCCCCCAAAGGCAGAGGCTGCAGCAGCCAGCACAGAGAAAGGGATAAAGCACAACTGGGGACCAAACTCTGTGCTCACACACATGAGAAATGAGGAGGAACCACATTACCCAAGATTTTGGGAGGAAAAAGTATCTCAAGATAACTGGGTGCTATTTTCCAACCTTCCTCTTTAAACCAGGTTTATGACAGACTTTTGAAAAGGTGGCCTGAAAGGTGGGTGCTAAAATCCTATTTGCATTTCCAGCCCCAGTTATGACCTTAATTCCTTAAGCTCCTCCAAAAAACCCTGCCTGTGTTTGGCCCAGGTCACCAGCAGTGAGCTCTAAGTTTTTTGTCAGATGTCCTAACAAAGTGCACAATGTATCTAAATTTATTTAACAACACACATTTAAACTAGAGAACAGAAATGATTACTGCATCCAAGAATAAAATAATCCAAGAAAAAATTAATGCTATAGTTAATTATAGCTCTGAATATATAATCTGGGAAAAATAATTAAGGATAGGGAGAAACACAGGAGGGAATCCAAATCCAGCAAACAATGAGGAAAAGTTGAATTTGGAGCTGGATGTGCTCCAGCTCCTGGGGGTCACTTACTAAATGGTGGAGGGGTGCCATAGCCCTGTGGAAATCCTTGTGGAGGAGGGAATCCCCCGGGAGGTGTGGAGACAATGTATGAGGTAAATGGTGGTGGTGGGGGAGGAGCTCCTCTGCCCGGAGGAGGGGGTCCATATCCACCTGCAAAAGGAACAGAAACCCCAAAATTGAACCAGATGAATGCCAAGGAGCTGCTGCTGGAGTCAGCTTCCTCTAGATGGGGTAAGGCTGTTGGGTGAATTTCAAATGCAGGTTCAGCCTTTTATGAATCCTCACTTTGGGAAATATTTGTCCTCCAAGTATCCCCACTGTAAATAATTGGAGTTTAGCATGTAATCCCTTGGTAATAAATTAATGTGGCTGGAACAGCAGGATGTGTGTCAGCTCCCATTACTGAGCTGCTAAGAATCCACTGTCTTCCCCTTCGTTCTTCCAGGACAAATTCAATCAAGCTTTTAAATGTAGGTTAAATCCTACAGAAATCCACAAATCACAGTCAATGCTCAAAGAAGCTGCACCCATGCTCGGGAGGATTTGTTCCTTTCAGAATTGGTCCCATATAATGTACTTACCAATTGCCTGTCCAGCTGGCACCCACATCCCTACAACAGAACAAAAAAAAAAAAAGAGTTTCAGACATCAGCAAAGCTGCACACTCTGGAGCAGGCATGATGCAAGAAGAAGGATTTGGCTCTGGGATAGACTGGGTATCCTCCCCATGTCCCTTACAGAGCTATTTTTATGGCCCAAGCAACACTGTGGGACTATTTCTGAGTGTGCAATTCTGGAAAGACTGTGAATCATTCAGCAAATGACATTCAGAAAAGACAGCAACTCCCAAACCCAAATCAGATGGAGCATCTGAGAGCTGCCACATACCAAGTGCAAGAAACTACAGAGAACAAAATCCCAGAGAACCCCAGCAGACAACACATCCAAGGGATTCTTAATTTACTACCAGGTTTATCCCAGTTACTCTTGCAGTGTTTGAAGCATAAAAAAAGGCTTTCCCATCCCTTGTGCAGTGCTGAGATTGAAGGATAAATGTGCTCATGTCTGACATTAATCTTTCCAGGAGATCAGATATCATTTTCCCTACTAATCACTGCATGGAAAATAATGGGAGTTTCTCAGTTTGCAGATTAGCACATCTGTGCACAATGTCAACCCTCAGCTGAAGCTTTCAAGTTAATCAGCACCGTGGGGAAATGAGCAATCCCTGTGCTGCACTTGCATCCATCAGAGCAGGGATGGAGCAGCCACGCTCCCTGCAGCCCCCCCAGGTGAACATTTCTCATCTCTCAGAGCAAGCAAGTCACAGCAACTCAATTATCCCTCTGCATTTCTCCACAAGTTATCAAAATTGTCTTCAGATGAACTCAGCATGTTTATCCTGCCTCTGGAATCTCAGGGGGGTTGCAGCCATCAAACCCAGGCTGCTCTTGAGCCCCTCAGGGCTCCTGGTGTGCTCTGAGTGCTCCCTGCACCAGAGCTGCCTGGTGCTTTCCCAAGCTACATTAAGCAATAAAATTCAAAAAGGCAAGGCCATCCATTTTCCCCTCATCTCTTTCAGATTTTCCTGATAACTTTCTCTGAAACTGCCTCATCCTTGAAAAGCCATATTTCAGCCGAATTTATCACTGGGGTTTTGTGCAGAACCCACTCCAGAGCTGGAATCCCACCCTGGAGCCTTCCCAAAACCATAAGAATTCCAAGTGGGGAGAGGCAGCTCCAAAGGGAACAGGTGAAACACACCTGGGACCACGTGCCACACACCTGGGGACCGCCTTCTGCCAGCTAAACAGATTTTTGGGAAAAGCAGTGAAAAAACTTCAGGAAAAGATTGGAGAGGGTAGAAACTGAATCCTGCTATGAGGGAGATAAACGAGGTAACACCATGCAGGCCAGAAAAGCAGAGGGCAGGAGCTGGAAAGGCCAGGCAGGGGATGGCACAGCGGGCAGGGTGGGCAGTACCTTGGGGGCCGTATCCCTGCTGCCAGGTCGGTGGGGGCTGCCCTGCCCAGCCGTTGGCAGCACTTGGCATGATCCTGCTTCCCCACTGGCTGGCCCCTGGTGGCCCTGGAGTTTGGCTCTTGCTGTCCCGAGGCTCAGCACGTTTCACCTCCACCTAAACAAACAGAGGCAGAGCTCAGCGGGGCTGGGGGGGCCCCGCGCCCCCCGGCCCCTCACACACACCCGCAGTTACACTTAAGACTACACTTAGCATCTTATGACTTATATGTCTAAATACTTAATTATTAAAACTTAAGGCCAGTAATTTACAATGTTTCTCAGGTACAGTGTAGGTGATTGGTAAGGAATTACAAAGTCCTACTGTTGAGGGATTCCAAGAAAAGCATCCTACAAATCGCTTCGGTCTCGTTGCCTTGAATCTTAAAACAGCAGTACCCTCTTACAGCAGCTCTGCACTTAAAACAGCACAATCCTGGACACTCGTGACAGACTGAGTTCAAGTTCAAGGCAGGAGATATAGAGATGATGTTTTCAGTTAAAAAAAACCATAATTTTGAGTGAAGAGGCTGCTCTGAAAAAGGGTACTAATGCTTTAACCAAACATGTTTGGGGTCCATTTGGAAGTGACAGTTTAACCCACCCCAACTAACTGCAATTTCAGCTCTGCTCATACCTGAGAAACACACATTTTTTGGTCTTTTTTTTTTTTGTATTTTTTTTTTTTTTTGGCTGTTTGTTGGTTTATTGGGTTTTTTTGTATTTTTGTCTTTTCTTTTTTTTTTTTTAAACTTAAGATTTTATTTAAATGTCTAATGGAAGATAAAGACTTACCTTCCCCAGGCTAACGCTTAAAGAATCTCAGTTAACTCAAACAATGTCAGAGGGAATGGATGTGATAAGAGAATCTTACATTACATCTAACAAAAAAGTAAACAAACATGCAAGTAATAAAAATGGACAGTTGAGTCAATAAGAAGCAAATCTTCATACTGTGTTAAGTCAGTGACAAAACCCCTCCTGTTTTAAAAATTAGTAACCACAGTGCTTAACTTATTTCATTCCAAGATAAAATGTCCTAGTGTTCCCAGCCATGGAATAAGTGCGTTTGACCTACTTAAAATAAGCTGCACATTCAACATAAACCTCTCAAAAAAAAAAAAAAATCCAGTTCTGATTTAATGAAACCCTCTCAGCACTCGCTGAATTCGAGCCTTTTTTTTTTTTTTTTTTCGTTTCATGATTAATTTTAATGGGTGCCAGAGTACAAAGAAAATAAATCTCAATCATCAATGGGCCTGAGTAGTATGGAAAATAAAGTATTCAGAATTCTTCCTGCCATGTCTTAAAAGCCATTCATGTTGGAGAACAAACAGGAAACAGGCACAAGGCAAGGACAAAGCCCCCCACACCCCCCTGCCAATGCCCCAAGGACATGAGACATGACAGTAACCAAATCTCTGTCAGCTCAAGGCCCTTCCAGAGAGGAACCAAGGGAATTTTTCAAAGGACTCAAATTAATGAGTCTTAACACATTTGCCTTGAGGGAATTCGGTTATTGCTTACAAAAGCAGAGGCTTTCTTGCAATTTTAATTTCTTCCCCCTCCTTTCAACAACATATGGATTCATTTCAGCAATACCTTTTTAATTACCAAAAAAAAGACAGAGATACCATTTTTAAAGCAGCCATGATTAGGCAGTGAAGGAGAGAGCAGGGGATCTGGAGCTCATTAATCCTTGTGGAAGAATCCCATTAATTTTTCAGTGCACACTTGGAAGCAGGGAACTGCCAAAGTGAGGACTGAAAATTCCCTGTGCAATGGGGAGGTTCCAATTCCACACCTGCCTAGAGCCCAGGTTACTCCAAGAACTGAGGCAGCTCTATTACTCTGAGCTAAAAATCCCTGAATCCTGCTTTTTTTTTTTTTTTTTTTTTTTCCCCACTGAGAAGGGAGAAAGGGCAAAAATCAATTATTTCACTTTGGAATTGGGTTTGTTTGGGGAACACTGAGAACTCCAGTGCTGTGTCCCAAAGCCAGCAGCAATGAGGTGACATCTGGAGCTCACACTGGGCTCTCTCCATCCTCTCATGGATGTTTTTCCTTTGTTCCCATCTGGATCTGCTGCTTTGTGGGATCAGCTCCCACTTTAGGGTTTTGCTGAAGGCAATTCCAGGAATATTGGGGGATACAGGTGATCCTTAGGCACCCCTGTGTGATTTCCTGCACCTGCTCACACCAGGAACCAAGAACTGATGTTCTGGATCCCACAAACACATTCCTTTGTTCCCATTATCAGCAAACCCCCCAGCCTTCCACCCCAAAACAAGTTCACAGGAATTAAAGGCATTATTCCACTGCAAAATGAACCAGAACTCCACTGATATGCAGAGTGTGTCCCCTGCTAGCTAAGGAAAGGCTTATGAAATATCAGCACATAAAAGACTTTAAAGACAATTAAAAACTCATACAGTGCAATAATTCAAGGATTGTGAGAATCTCCTGTGTCTCCCTGAACCCCCTCACTCCAACTTTAGCAGTTTTAACATTTAGTTAAAATCTGGATATACCTTAAAGCTGTGCAAGGACTTAAATTTACCAGAATTTCCTGTGGTTCATTTTTCCTTTAAATTACTCTTTTCTCTAGATATAAAACTTGGGTGTCCTGCAACAATTTATTTTGCTTTTAGGTTTGTTTTTTTTTTTGTTTGTTTGTCTTTGTTTTTTTTTGTTTCCACAGGTAAAAGCATGTTCCTTGCTAAGTAACATCAAAAAAGCCTAAAAAATTCCTCCCTATCCAATCCCCATTTGCTGACAACACAGTATGAAGATGAAACAACCAGAGGTCACTTAACTGCATTGTGGTTAAATACTATATAGAGTACGTGGGTTGGTATCAAAGTTTCACAGTAAGTGACCCAATTTTTTAAAAAACCAATCCTTCAGGATGTTTTCTTTTTTTTTTTCCTCCCTTTTTCTTTGAAAGTTTAAGATTATATAAAGCAGATTGTCTGACACCACCTCGAGATTTGAGTATCGAGTACACATCTGAAGGAGTGGTATCTTAAACCAAGCCTTGAACAACTGGGATTTCACTGGGATTCTGCTTTTCCAACAGCTGGAAATCACTGATTTTTCTCTCTCTCTCTCCTTGCACCACAGCAGTGCTCAAAGCAGAGGCAGCGAGCACCAGTTCATCCCAGTGATGATGATGATCCCATCTGCTCATGCTGAGCCAGAGCAGCCCCCAGGTCTGTACACACAAGGCCTCACCCCAAGCAGAGCCCACAGCCTGAATCCTCAGGCTTCCAAGCCCTCCCTTCCCCCCAGGCTGCCCCCATCCTAACTCAGCAAACTCAGACTTTCCCCACCTCCATGGATAAAGCCTTGAATTTGGACTGCTGTGCTCTCCCACCAACAATTAAGTTGGATTCCCCAGTGAAATCTCTCGTTGCCCAAGACTTGGTTCTTTCTTAAGGTAAAATAAAACTACAACTACACACTTTTTTGCCCATGATGTCGTGAAAATGCATGTTGACAGCCTGGTCCACTGATTGTTCGTCCTCGAAAGTAATAAATCCAAAACCTAGCCAACGACGAAGAGTGAATCAAGGTAGCAGGGTGTTGTGACACAAAACAGGATGATGAACAGTATTAGGGGCAGACCAAGGGTTCAAGCAGGGGTTTCAGATAACGACACTTGTGTTCAATTGGCAAAAAACTCTGAGGAAATTGCAATGGATACTTCCTGTGAAGAGGCTTTAGTGCCTCGTCTCGATTGCGCGCATGCAGCTTCGAACTGAGCTCGTTAACCGGCTTTTAATTTGATTTTATTCCTCATCCACCTACCAGGAAATGGAAAAAAACTGCTAAAATCAAAATACTTATGGGACAGCAGATTGAAGTCAAGCAACTTTGCTGCTCCTCCCTTTGATTCAGCCTAGTTCACCCAAGGAAAACCTGTCAATATATCCCTGTTCCCCAAAAGCTGCAAAGCAACTTCCTCCCAATCCCTTAGCCCAGCTTCCAGTTAGGGAATATTTTCCCATGGAAAATAAGAAAGTTAGTTTTGAAATGTAGCTGTTAAAGCATGAGAAATTTTACCACTCCATGGATGAATGAGAAGCTTCAGAAACTAACAACCTACATCAGAGGTTCTCAAGTTTTCCACACCTTGGAGAAAAAGCCCAGAACAGGTGTTACTCCTTCCCAACACAGCAACCCCCTGTGTGAGGTGCTGCTCACACAGAACCTGGTGTTGCTGCCACGTCCTGAATCTGTTTCATTTCTTCTATTTCCTGTTGGTTTCCTTTTGAAAATCCACACAACTTCCTAAAGTCCTTTTTGCCCTCCCAACAGGTGGCTCATTCCCTTTCACCTGCCCACAGCCCTGGCTGCTGGCAGGTCAGCTGGATCCAACAGCTTTTGATGCTTGGAGAAAAATCTGGGAAAGGAGGCAAAGCTCCCCTTTATGGAGTCACTCTGAGAACCACTGCACGTAGGTTGTAGCTGCTGACACAGCCGAGAGAGTGGCAAAATAGTGGTTAATCCCCCAGGACATGGCAGCTGCTTCATGCCATCACCCACTGGCTGCTGGTGGGGACAACCCAGGGCAGGGAGGGACACATGCAGTACAGGAATTGTGCCATTCTTTGGGTTAGCTACAGAGGAGGGGAAGAAAAAGGGGGGAGAGCAATAAAAAAATTAGAAAAGAAACCCGAGGTGCGGCGTGGGAAGCGTTTATGGAACATGGATGCGGTTCTGCTTTTCTGAAACCCAAGATTTCCCCCTTGGTTTGCGTTTTGCTTTGCAGCTAGTGCTGACAGCAGCCAAATCTTGCTCTAAAGCGTTACAGAATACAGGATCTAGCACAGGAATGTCTCTCCACGCTTATCCAACTGCGTTGGGTAAGCCCAAAGAGGCCTAGTGTAGAGAAAGTTTATATATATATATATATATAAATACACAAAGATACAGGCCAAAATAGATTCCAGCAGGTCAAAATTCTGCTGTCAGCAACAAGAGCAAAAGACATCACTAAAATAAACTGAAAATAAAAAGGAAAAAACTTGGCATTTCCCACACACAAGAGACTGGCAGTATAAACGAAGTTTTGTGGAGCTGTGATGAAAGCAGCCTCGAAGCTGAGAGCAGCATTTCATCACAATATATTTGTCTGAGTTAACCAGAAATCCGAGTGTTGGAGCCAAAGGAAAAGTGTTTGTATTTAAATCACATTTAGTTTTCCAGCCTTTGTCTAAAAAGAGATGGGGGAAGAAAAACCATGGATTCCATCTGGATGTGAAGGTTGGTGTTAAATTTGATTCCAAAGCTAAAGGAGGGGAAGAGATTGTGGGATGGGGCTGGAGGGGTAGAACAGGGAGAGCAAGAGGTCATTGAGGAAAGCAGAAAATTGATTCTATAAAGGGGATTTAAAAGGATCAGACTAGATAAGGAAGAGTGAAGAAATCCGAGTGACACAGCACAACTCCAAGGTGAAGTTTTGAGCAGAAGGGATGAAACCCACCACCTGCAGCTTCAGTTTCTCAAGGACAGGACTCTGCTAAAGGCTGGAGAAATGAACTGCATCCAGCAGGAATCCAAAAGGACCAGACCAGAGTGACAGGGCTGGGCTGCAGCCAAGGGAGGAGGAGAACAGACACAGCAAGAACATGGAAATCTCTTCCCAGCTGTTAGCTTGGCCAAGAACAGGGAGCAGGAGAAGCTGAGACTGCACCAAAGGCACTTTGCTCCTTCAGAGATGTGACATGGCTGCTGTGCTTGGGGCTGTGCAAAGTTTGGATGAGGCAGAGCTGGCAGGAGCAGGCAGGACTGGGAGGAAGCAAAGATCATGAGGATACCTGACCCCAGTCAGCTCCTCAAGGACATCACCTGAGAATTTGGTGCTTCCTGAGGAGCTGGAGGTCAATGGATGCTACAGGGATTAGGAACAGGGAGCATTTTCCCTCCTCCTACCAGTAAACCAATGTGCACTTCCAAAGGAAGGGTGGGAAAGGGAATGGGAAAAGGCAAAATTCAGAAGGGTCTGAGGAGAGATGGCACCAAATTGGGCTCTGGAATTTTATCAACAGTCATTGAAAGGATAAGGGGAGAGAGCAGCAAGAAAGCACAGAGAGAAGGCAAGAGAAAATGTGTTTTGGGATGCACAGCCAGGACTATCCAACACAAACTCGAGGAATTTTTCCCTAGCACCCCCCAGGGACTGCCAAGGCCATTTTGGGAGATGACTGTTAGTCAGCAGACTAAAAAAAGCCTGGAACAGCACAGAAACAAAAGGCAGAGAGAAAGGATTCAAGAAGTGCTTAAGAAGTCTGCTGAATTAGGGGAGGAAGTTTTCTGTGGGTGGAGACGAGACCTTTCCCCCACCTGGCACTTGTGCTTTGTACCCCAAGCCCTCCTTTGCCTGATTTGTTTTTAGTAGAGCTTGAAGCAGAGAAGCCATTAATTGAGACAGGATTAATCCAGACCAGGCATGATGTTTAAGTACCTTTTGCACAGAGGCTGCAAGGCTGGGATTAAATATTGCCAAGATAGAGATGATACAATAATTACTGCAATATTTCAGAACTTGAGCCCCAAATCACATTTGGATGCCAGTGCCTTTGTCCCCTCTATCCAAAACCAGCTGCTCTAGAGCATTGAAACAGATGAATTTATGTGCTGCTTAAATCAAAGGGATCTGCTGGAAGAAGATTAGGATAGCTAAAGCAAGAAAACAAAAAAAACAAATATATTGAAACTTCGTTTACACTCCAATAAAAGACAAAGCCCGTCCCTCCTCTGACTGTGGAACTGGCCTGTACCTCTGTGATAAATTATCACCTAGAGAGAAGAAATCTAAAGAGATATCGTTAATCACAGTCAAACAATTCACAGAGAGAAAAGAAACAAAAAAAAGAACTTACTTAACATTACCATACTTTACTATGAAACACTTAAATATGTCACTAAGGATGTATGTCTAAATTAAAAATAAAACTAAGACTTAACAGCTTAATAAATATGAAGTGAAGGATATATTTCTTAATAATGAGGCAGAAGAGAAATGAAAAGTTCAGATGGCAAACTATTCTCTAGCATGTCCAACATGCTACAGGGTGGGAGCACAGCTAAGCTTCACGTGCCAAAATATTGCCTCTTCCTTGGCAAACAGATGGTGGATGCAAAGGGACATGGGTGACATGGAATTTGCTTCATATTTTGACCAAAGGTTCCCAGCTTGATTCAATATCGAGTGAATCTTTCAGGTTTTTGGGGGGTTTTTTTCCCCCCCCTCCCCTCTTAAAAAGCAATCTCGTATACAGGGATTGTATATCCCAATTTAAAATATGCATATATAAATCTTTCAGAATTATTTTGTGTTGTTTAAGAAGAGTTATTTTTTCTTTAATTTGAGGTGAAGCCATTTAACCAAAACAAAAAGCAGGTGATGGATGGATTCTGTCCTGTCTTGTGCTCTGGCTGGAGCACCCCCCATGCACTTGCAGACCCAACGTACCTTTCATGTGGAACAGGAGGAAAATCTTATTTTTTTCCCCCCTCAAAAGTACCTTAAGCCACAGGAGTGGCTTGAGAATCAAATTTCATTCAACTAAAAAAAAAAAAACAAAACCAACCCATCAATGAGCATGAAACATCTGAATTGAAATGCACAGACCCAAGTGAAGCTGGAGATGAAGAGTCTAGACTTGAAGTGATGTTTGCCTAGTGAATTATTCTTTTTCCTGAGGCAACATAGGAGGAAAAAAAAAAAAAAATCTACCTTTTCTGATGGTGTGAAATAGTTTGCCATCTGACTATAGGAGAGTATGAAGAAATTTCAAGGACAAACTAGATCAGCCTTTACCTCGGGGCCTCTGTTTCTCTGCGTCATAGATCATTACAACTTCAGTGACCTGGAAGAGAGAAGGGAAATTCTACTCCCTGTGCTGGCAGGGAAGGGCTGCAGCAGCCACCACCAGCTGGTTCCTGCTCTCTACCCACAAAGCACAACCCAAGTGCAGCCACCATCCCAGCAACAGCACAAAACCTGGGGGTTTACAAAGCCCCAGTTCATCTCCATTGTCTCATCACACTTTAACATTTTAATTGAACACTGAGGTTTTGCATTATTTGTACTCACTCTATTACACACCCCAAGCGTTTGTTTTCCAACAACTCATCAGTGTAGCTTTTTAAAGATGATTTTTCCCATTTTTAACCATTTTCACTTTCACCATGAAAAGCAGCTTGAGCTGCAGGCACCTTTAGGAACATGCAGGGCTCCTCTGATTGAATTACTGGAGCACCAGAGAGGCCCAGAGCACCAGTTAAACCAATGCTTTAAACAGCTTTACAAAACCCCTCTAAATTCTGCATGAGCAGTATCAGTGTGATTTTAACGTAAAAAAAGAAAAAAAATGGAAATTGCAAGCTGTTCAAGGGCTTCAGGATTATTCTTTTCAAAATGAGCACCGCAGTGAGCTACAATTTAAACAAAACCTGAGGTGGAATGTTTATGTCAATATTAAAACAGCTGAAGGGAACTGCTCTGAAATCTCTCAGATTCAGAAAAGTGGTCACAAAATGGGTGTGATTTTGTAGAACTGCATCCTCAAGATAATCTTAGGATATTTTTACTCGTGAGTAAAAACGAGTTTAAAATCTGACAATAAAATCTGAGTTTAAAATCTGATAAAAATCAATTTTATCTTTACTTACACCTAGAAAACATTGGGGTTTGAGTTGCTGCACTCACTTGGAGCACATCCTGCTGGATGCTCCCAGCTGGGGCTGGGGGATCCATGGGAGGATTATGCCATGGGACAATCAGTGCCAGATTTGTCCCACCCTGGTCCATTTGGATCCTCTTCACCCTGGCCTTCATGACCCAGCAATTACCAGGGCTACAAATCAATGCCTGCCTTGGGCTCCTCACTCTCGTGGCCACAAAACATTTGTGAGACTCCACTGCTCCAAAGGGACTCGTTACAACTCCAGGAAGATTTTCTGATTTCTATACTATGAGTAAAGTGCTACTACTTACTTTTAAGGGCACTTACAGTTGTGGCTGTTGCCTTCTACACCTGCAGGACATACCCTGTATCTCCCCAGCATCCAGGGCACAGCTGGAAAGCCAAGTCTGTGAGGAAGAGCCTTTAGAAACTACATCCCACAGCTGTGGAACGTGCTCCCTGCTTTTATTATTAGCCTACTGCAGCCTTTCAAGCTAAAGAAACAGTTGTTAGCTGTTGCTTTTTTGTGTTTTGAAATAAATTATCTTAATGGAATTTTAAACATTGATTTAATTCTTGATAAACTTAACTTGTTTCTCGATAAATCCTTTGCTGCCACTAAGAAATGTTGGAAAAAGTTTATTGAAAAAAAGTATCAAAAACTACACTTAATGCCAATTAAGTTCATTTTTACCAGCACAGTCCTGAATTTAACTCGGGCAATCTTTAACTTCCTCAGAATTATTCACAGCAGAGTTATTTAATTGAGTAGTTTATCATATTAAATGGGCAGTGAGAGCTGGGATAAATGGGAATTACAACTAAGTAAAAACTACATTAAAAAAAAATTCAGAAGATACAGTAATTTCAGTCCAAGGTTACAAACTGAATTAAAGAAGGTGCATGAGGAGCAGCTTGTCTCAGAATGGGGGTTCTAGGGACACCAGAACTGAGATTCCAGATGGTTTGAAAGCAGCTACTGCTCCCAAAATAATGGCAAGAGACCCAAATTTAACCTATCTGTACACACAGCCAAACACCAGGATCTTCAAATTCAGCCCATTGAGAGACTCACTGTTCCCAAAACATAATCAGCAGACATTTTTAATTGCCCAGCTGAAAGTTATCAAGAGAAAAGGGGGGTGGGGGTGGAAATAATAATAATATAAATAATCATTCTTAAGCCACCTCAGGAGTTTTTGGAAGAAAGGACAGAATAATGCATCAGGTAGACTTAAACATGAGGAGACAGAAGCAGCAAAGTAAATCCCACAAGAGCAGCAGGTTCTGCTAAGGGACATTTCCAGATGATGAATGTTCACTACAGTTTCTCACAAAATGCTTCAGGTGCTCCTCCAGCAATTTGTCCAAATTACCCCCAAATTTGACAGCTTGAGGAAATGTGAGAGGAGGCAGCAGGGAGGGGAGGCACCTTTCCCCCCAGGACTCACCACTCCGAACTTCTTGAAGTATTCCCTGAGCTCTGTCTCGCCACAGTTATGAGGAATCCCACCAACAAAAATTTTATTGGATTTATTGTTATCGCTCCTGGATCCTTTCTGCTAAATCAAGGAGGAGAAAATTCAGTCAGAAGGACAATAAAGGGTGGCTGCTTCTATCATTTTATACTGAAGCATGAACAATGGGCTCTGGCAGGCTGGGGGGAGAGCTCCAGCCTTGAAGTGTCCCAGGCATGAAAGGGAAGCACGTTCTGAGCTCAGAGGCTCAGTGTCCCCCGTTCTTCAGAGCACCAGAACACAGGGCCTGTGTTCTGAGGCCACTGACTCATTTTACACTGAGATCTGCTGGAGCTGCAGGGTGTGGAGTGGGCTGGAACAGCACCAGTGCCCTTCCAGACACTGCTCTCAAATCTGAACAACTCCACTAAAATCATCACTAAGAGCTTAGCAAACACCACACCCAAACTGACACTGCTGTGCACAGAGCCTGCCCATGGAAACCTAAATTAAAGACTTTTTTAAGAAATGAAATTTACACTTGAGTTCTGCATAGATTTCTGCCTTTAAAACACAGATATAATCCAAAGGCACTCAAGAGAACTGGGACAAGAGTCAGGACACACAGGGATCTCTCCTTACCCATCCTTCCTTCGGCCGTGTCCGCTCTGGCTGCATCCCCCGAGGTGTGCATGGCTTTGGATCAATCTGCAAGAAATTCCACTTTGGTCACACCTCAGCATGAAGAATTTTGCTCTAAAAGTTACATTTTGTGGCAGCTGAACCCAGCCCTGTTGACATGCAGCTGCTCAGAGTTCAGAGCAACACAAGCCACGGAGTTAGAGCTGCCTTACAATAAATCATTTAAGCCAACAACCAGGTAAAGTCAGACACTCTGCAAATGAGAAGGCAGAATTTAAACCAAATCTTTGAATCTGGTGCAGGAAAAAAAAAAAAAAAACAACAAAAAAAGCAACTTACATTTCGGCCATCTAACGTATGAGGTCTGCTGGCCAGCACTGTTCCCACACAGTTGGGATCTTTAAATTTGACAAATCCAAATCCTCGAGATTGATTTGTTGTTTTGTCTTTCATTATTACACAGTCTACAACTTCTCCATACTGGGAGAAGTAGCTACGAAGGGTTTCTGTTAAAGAAAAAAAAGCAAGTATTAAACAGAACCAGATATTAATAACACCAGACTGAATTTGCAATTATGAAACAGATCAGCAAACATGGAAAACAACTTCAAACTCATCTTTTGTAAAAGATCACATCTTACTTCCTGTAAACAAATAGCAGGCAACAGTTTATTTCCACTCATACAAATGGAAAAAAGCAAAGTGATTATAAAAAGGTTTGTCTGTTGAGCTGACAAAAACTTCAGCACCAAACAACACAAACCTAAAAGTACTATATCTATATTAAAAAATAGATATAAAATCATGTATCTGAGCTGTCTGTACAGAAAGTTTTATGAATTAGCAGAGGAGGAGGAGCTCTCAGCCCCATCTCCTCACCACAGCAATGCCTGTTAGAAGCTCCTGGCTGGGTTTCACCATGGCCCAATGCCTGCAGCACACATTGCTCACCTTGTGTCGTGCTCCAGTCCAGGCCACCCACGAACAGCTTTCTGCAAACAAAGCACAGGGCAGGTTTAGGGGCTACAGCAGATGCTCCATCGTATTTAGGGCACAATTCAGCTCTTCTGGACAGATTTGGGGGTACCAGGACCTTCACCACACCCTACAAAGCTGGCGCCGCACTCAAAGCCGCTGATTAAACCAAAGCAAACCCAACCCTTCCTCCATCCCTGCTCTCTGCTCCTCCCTCACTCACCACAAAACACTCACTTGGCTGCCAGCCCCTTCCTGTGGGGTGAAAGCAAAAGTACAACTGCCAAGCTCAGGCCTGAGACAGAAGTCAAACCTGTGCAGCAGGTACTAAATAACAGAGCAGCACTAATCCAGCAGCAGTTGTGAAAGCATTTTACAAGCCAGTTTCGAGATAGCGCCCAGCAGGTGAGGAAGTCATGGCTGAACCCCAAACTAAACTGCTGAAAACTGATTCAACTCTGCCTCTGTAAAGAGCACCCAAATCTGCAGCGTTTCGTGTCCCAGCATGCCCAAGCACCTGGGTGGGTGCTAGAGGAGTTCCATGCCAGGCTGCCAGCTCTGCAGCTCTTTATCAACTCCTGGGTGTGACAGAACTTCCAGCAGTCATTTACTCAGTAATTAAAGGTTGGTTAGAACCACCTCAACACTTGGCCCTTGTCAGTACCAAGAATCAACCCCCCAAAAAAGCCTCTCATAGCTGTCTGCAGCTTCTTCCTGAGGAGCAGCATCACCCTCTGCTCTCCGGGAGCAGGGGCAGGAGCCAGGGAATGGCTGGAGCTGTGTCAGGGGAGGTTCAAGCTGGGCATCAGGAAAGATTCTTCCTCAGGGTGTGCTGGGCACTGCCCAAGCTCCCCAGAGAATGGTCCCAGCCACAAGCTCCAGGAGCATTTGGACAACACGGGATTGTTGGGGTGTCTGTGCAGAGCTTTGATGATCCTTGGAAATCCCTTCCAGCTCAGGATATTGTGTGAAAAACTCTGCTGTTAATGGCTCCATGGCTCTGCACAGACAAGCACTGGGATAGTTTATTTTTGGGGGATGCCCTCTAGTTCTCCATCAGACCTCAAATTAAAAAAAACACCTTCTGCTTTGTCTTCTACTCACCTTCACCTATACCTGAGTACAGCTGAGGGTGGTGGGAATTCCTGCATCCTCACTTACACGGGCAAAGTTGAATTTTTCCTAACAAAAAGAATCCTAAACTTCCTCTCACCTGCTCTTTTCAGGAGTAGCTAACGGCAGGGAGAGCCCAGTCACCCCCAGTAAGAGCTGCAGGTGCACTGGGAGTACCAGGGGAAGTGAAAGCTTTGCAACTGGAAGTTCCTGTGGAGCAGGGCAGCTCACTGACAAAACCAGCCCATCCCTTTCCACTTTGATTCACTTCTCTGTGATAGGACATCATGTCACGACCCTTGTGCACCAGCCAAAGTGACAAAATTCAATATCACACACCACCTCTGAGCCTTGTTCCATTGAGGCAAATTCTGTTCCTAAGTTACAAGGCGAGACGTGACACGAGGCTTGTCTTTCACAGAAACAGACCAACTGTTAAGCGCTGATCAAAGCGTCTCCTTGAGCAGCCAGCAAACAACTGAGCTGGTGACACACAAGGCAAAGACAGCCCTGAGTGTCACAGCAGACAGCGGCTGCCTCTGCTGCCTTACCGTCATGCAAAAGGACGTGTCACCCTCCCCGAGAGCAGCACGGGCAGGACCTGTCACCCTCCCCAGAGGGACACAGGCAGGACCTGTCACCCTCCCCAGAGGGACACAGGCAGGACCTGTCACCCTCCCCAGAGGGGCACGGGCAGGACCTGTCACCCTCCCCAGAGGGGCACGGGCAGGACCTGTCACTCTCCCCAGAGGGGCACGGGCAGGACCTGGCACCCTCCCCAGAGGGGCACAGGCAGGACCTGGCACCCTCCCCAGAGGGGCACGGGCAGTGCCCGCCCTGCCCCGCCCTCTCTCAGAGCACGCCCGTTTTCTGCGGGCACGTTCGGGATGACGAAGTTTCCCTCCAGGATTGGAAAAGTGCCCCCAGCTCGCTCTGGCTCCTGGCACGGGCTCAGGGCCTTGCTCAACAGCAGCCAGTTCACAGCTACAGGTCTGCTCTGGGACCAGCCAGGTTTTGCCCAGGTGGCCCCACCATCCTGGTGGCTGCCACAACTGTCCCTTGACCACCTTCACTCTGCACACACAAAACACAAAACCCTCTCCTGTGCCTTATTTTTAGGGAAAATAAGTAACTCGAATTTCTTAATAGTAAAGCAAAACCAGCTGATCTACTGCTATATTCACAATGAAGTTTTGATGTGTGGCTAGTGACGTTTTCTTGAACAACAACATTTGAGCTTATGGTTTGTTTTGGGGTGTTTTCAACTAAATTTGATAGCTTGGTATACAAGATGAATCTATTTTACATCCTTGTAAAAGTACCAGCTGTGTCCTGGAGAACACCAAGCTGTCTGCAAGGAGGGAGGTCACTGAAACCTTCCAGTTCCACCATGAATTATTTGTAGTCACCCTACATGGACTGAAACAGCAACGCTGGCTTGCTCAAGGCCAGCTCCAGCAGCTGTATGGAAATCCACAGCCCTGGTTTATACACATGCAGTGGAACACCAAAAGCCAGGAATCCTCTGTTTTGGGATCCTCTGTGGTTTGAAGACATTGAGCAGGGCTGTCAGAGTTTACAAAGATCCAGATGTGCTATGGTACAGGACAGCTGTGTGAGTGCTCCAGCCCCCACGCTCAGCTGCATCACCAGCCCTTTCCCAAGGTCTCACCCACGCTCCACCCCACAAAACTTTTGGTCCTAACAGTTTATGGGCTGGCAGTTCTTAAACTCGGGGAATATCCTGAGCTGGAAAGGATCCATGAGCACTGAGTCCAACTCCCGGCCCTGCACAGACCCCCCAACAATCCCACCCTGAGCACCCCTGGTGTCCAAACGCTCCTGGAGCTCTGGCAGCCTTGGGGCCGGGACCATTCCCTGGGGAGCCTGGGCAGTGCCAGCACCCTCGGGGGGAAGAACCTTTCCTGACACCCAGCCTGACCCAGACACAGCCCCAGCCATTCCCTGGCTCCTGGCCCTGCTCCCAAAGAGCAGGGGGTGATGCTGCCCCTCAGGAAGAAGCTGCAGACGCTGCTGAGTCTCCCCTCACGCTCTTCAATGTTTTTAGTTCACACCTGCTGACACCACCCAAACCTCACACCTCCATAAAGCTCCAAATTTACAGACTGGAGGACACCACAGTCCATCCACACTGGAATGCAAAGCCACTCCAGCACAGGCAGGTGACAGCACAAACCACCAGGTGAGTGTGCCCATCACGAGCAGTGAGATCCTGACAGGTACAGCACAATTCCCCACAGGGATCACTTCAGGAGCAGAAAGTTGGTCAATAACTCCTCAGAAGTTGCAGCTGTATAACTTATTATACAATATTTTAACCAAGTATTCTACCTCACTACTTCCTGGGAGAATTTTCATTGCTAATTTATTCTTTGTTGCCATAAACGTACTTGCTGCTGGAGCAAATCAACTCAAGATTAGTAAAAAAGCATGTACAGGTATTTTAAAACCACCAAAGCTCAACAAAAGCACAAACTCTTTGCCTATATAAATAATCCGGGGTTTGATTAATAGCTCTGATCAACACCTCAGCACAGCCCCCATTAGCTGCAGGACAGAAGGATCAAGATCAGCACTTTTCTTCATCCAAACCAGCCCCAAGTACTAATTAATTACAACAAATAACACTCTCAAGGCCCCTACCTACCCATGCCAACACATCTGCAAGGCTTACACAGCTTCCTTATGTGTTTTTTCTGAAAATCTTTCCTAGAAAAGCAGCTGAATTCATAACTTCCCATCTAGACTTGCCTCTCCCAACAGCTTTAAACCAGAGCTTCCTTCTGAGGGCTGGAGCAGCTGAGATTGTTCTACGCTCTCACCTTTCCCCCTGAGTGCTTCTGGGGGAGGAGAATAAAGAAAATTTCCCTCTCTGATTAACCCCCAATCCTTCCCAATCTGATTACAGCTCTGAAGGGTCACAGCCTGTGACTGGGAACAAACTCTGGGAGAGCCAAGCCTGCTCAGGAGGGGCACTGATGATACTCCATGGAATAACCTGGAGCTCACCTACAGTTTGGGAAGCCAGACCTGATCAGGTCTCTCATAAGACACCAGACCATGACTAAGTCCCAGAAGCAAATAAAAGCACTTTCAGAACAAACCCCACATATTTAAACCCCTCCTGCAATGTGTGCTGGAATTGGATCATCTCTAAGGTCCCTTTCAACCAACCCGAGATATTCCAATCACTTATCCTGCCTCCTGTACTTTTAGGATTTACAAATTAAGAACGTGCAGTAAATAAGCAGCTTACAAAGCAGTGCAAGGAGCATGGGACAAATGGTTCGTGTTTCCAGTTTCAAACAGGGTGACCAGTCCTGATGGGCAAATTCTGTGCCAAAACTTGCACTGGAAGAACCAGTCAAGGATTTTTAAATTAGGTTTTTGCTCCTTCGAGTTCTACCATGCCCAAGTCTGCAGCCTGGTAATTTCAATGTCACCAGGGTACAGCTCTCAAGCAGAATAATAACACTGAGTGCAGCTGGATGATCTCTAAGGTCCCTTCCAACTCAAGCCTTGCTATGACTCTAAAAGCACGTCACAAGAACCAGATCTGCGTCAGGTTTTCAGTTTGAAGCCACAAAAACCCCAGAACAGTTTAAACCGGGATTTTCCTGCCTGGAACACATCCCGAGCAGAGGACAGCTCGGCAGGGCAGCCCTGCAGGGGGACACGGAGGTCGAGGGGAGGTTCCTGGTGCTGGATTTGTCCCCCCACCTTCCCCCTCCTCCACCCCGAGCCCCTCAGGGTGGCCCTGAGGAGTCACCAGAACAAAATGCCGAGTGGGGTCACGGAATCACAGAACAGACCCTCAAAGATCATCGAGTCCCACTCCTGGCCCTGCACAGACACCCCAACAATCCCAGCCTGTTCCTGAGAGCGCTGTCCAAGCACCCCTGGAGCTCTGGCAGCTTTGGGGCTGAGACCATTCCCTGGGGAGCCTGGGCAGTGCCCCAGTACCCTCTGGGGGAAAAACCTTTTCCTGAGAGCCACCCCAAACCTCCCTGGTTCCAGCTCCAGCCGCTCCCTCAGGTTCTGTCACTGGTCCCAGACAGCAGAGATCGGAGCTGCCCCTCTGCTTCCCCTCACGAGGAAGTTTCAGACTGCGATGAGATCTCCCCTCAGGCTCCTCTTCTCCAGGCTGAACACACCAAGTAACCCCAGCCACTCCTCCTAAGGCTTCCCCTCAAGGCGTTTCACCATGTTCGCTGCCCTCTTTTGGATGCTCTCTAGCACCTCGGTATCTTTCTTATATTGTGGCGCCTAAAACCGCACGCAGGACTCAAGGTGAGGCCGCACCAGCAGAGCGGGACAATCCCCTCCCTCCTCGGCGTGTTGTCCCCCCCACCTCGCGTTCCCCGCGGGAGGTGACAGGAGAGGAGGACACAGAGGGACACGGAGGGACACGGAGGGACACGAAGGGACGCGGGGGGTTCCGGTGCGGGCGGGCGCGGGAAGCGCCGCGGGCGGGTGACCTTGGGCGCGCGCACCTGCCGCAGCCCCGCGCGCGCGCCGGTCACGTGACGGGAGGGGGGGGTGTGCGCCCTCACGGCCCCAACATGGCGGGACCGGCCCCCCCCTCAGCACCCCCGGTCCGGGACCGGCCCCCCCCCTAAGCCCCCTTCTGCCCGGCACCGCTCCCCGCTCAGCTCCCCCGGTCCGAGGGAGCCCCGGCGGGACCCTCTCGTGAGGTTGCGGGAAAAGGTGACCGAACCTTCCCCCCCCCACCCCGTCCCAGCGCGTCGCCCTCCCCTTCCCCTCACCCGATCTCATCGGCGCCTCCCACGCTGTTCATGGCGGCGGCTCCTCCGGGGCCGCGCCCGGCTCTTCCCTCCGGTGGCGGCGGTGCCAGCGGCGGGTCGTGGGGCCGCGGGCGGGCGCTCCCGGCCGTGTCCCGGTTCCCGAGTCCCGGTTCCCCCCCCGCCGCCCCCGGCCCGGCCCGGCCCCCCCCGCCGCGCGCTCGCGCTCCCTCAGCGCCGCCGCTGCGCGCGCACCCGCCCCTCGCTACGGGGTCTCCGGGGCCGCGCCCTGGGAGGGGCAGAGAGGGGCGTGGCCGCGCGCGCGCGGGGGCCGGCGGGAAGGGCAGTCCGCGCGCGCGGGGGGGGCGGGGCCTCCGCCGAGTCCAGGTGTCCATCCCATTGGGATCCCAGTGTCCATCCCATTGGGATCCCAGCGTCAATCCTATGGGATCCCAGCGTCAATCCCATTGGGATCCCAGCGTCAATCCTATGGGATCCCAGTGTCAATCCCATTGGGATCCCAGCGTCAATCCCATTGGAATCCCAGCGTCAATCCTATGGGATCCCAGCGTCAATCCCATTGGGATCCCAGCGTCAATCCCATTGGGATCCCAGCGTCAATCCTATGGGATCCCAGCGTCAATCCCATTGGGATCCCAGCGTCCATCCTATGGGATCCCGGCGTCAATCCCATTGGGATCCCAGCGTCAATCCCATTGGGATCTCAGTGTCCATCCTATGGGATCCCGGTGTCCATCCCATGGGATCCCGGTGTCCATCCCATGGGATCCCAGCGTCAATCCCATTGGGATCTCAGTGTCCATCCTATGGGATCCCTGTGTCCATCCCATGGGATCCCAGCATCAATCCTATGGGATCCCTGTGTCCATCCCATGGGATCCCAGCGTCAATCCCATTGGGATCCCGGTGTCCATCCCATGGCATCCCAGTGTCCATCCCATGGGATCCCAGCGTCCATCCCATTGAGATCCCAGTGTCCATCCTATGGGATCCCTGTGTCCATCCCATGGGATCCCAGCGTCAATCCTATGGGATCCCTGTGTCCATCCCATGGGATCCCAGCGTCAATCCCATTGGGATCCCTGTGTCCATCCCATGGATCCCAGTGTCCATCTCTGGGGTCCCAGTGTTCATCTCCGGGATCCACAGGGTCCCACTGCCCCACCCTCGGGATCCACAAGGTCCTACTGCCTTCCCGCAGGGTCCCAGCACCCACCTGCGAGCTCCGTGGGGTCCCAGTGTCCATCCCCGGGGGTCCCACTGCCCACACTCGGGGTCCTACTGCTCACCCACAGGGTCTTACCGTCCACCCTTGGGGTCCCACTGCCCACCCCCGGGGGTCCCACTGCTGCCCCGCGTGTCCCGTTGCCCACCTGCAGGGTCCCGCCCCGCCCTCACTGGGCTCAGTGCGTGGGACCGTGCGGGGCACAGCGCTGTGTGTGGCCCGGAATGTGGCCCCGGAGGGTGGCACAGCGTGGGACACAGCGTGGGACACAGCACAGGGAACACCCCTTCCTCCATTTACCCCCTGATCCAGCCCGGCTGGTCATTCCCAGTGACCACGGGGAGCAGGGACATCCTCTGCACCCCCAGATGACCGCAGTGACCCCCAGGCCACGTGTGACCACTCCAGCCGGGCAGCCCCGGCCTGTCCCGTGGTGCCCCGTTCCCGATAAGGGCTCCCGATCCCTGGAGGGGCCCCAGCCGGCTGTGCACACTCAGCACTTTCCAGCAGGGCTATTTAAAGCCGGCCAAGAGCCCAGTGGCCCTTTCTTTCCCTGCCTGGCAGCCTCGGCCCGTCCAGCTGGACTTTCCTCCCGCAGCCATGAGCTCCGGAGCAGCAGCAGGGCCGATCTTTGCCGAGGGCGAGGACTGCAGGGCGGCCTGGAGAGAAGCCAGGGCGGGCTACGATGAGCCTGATGCCCACCTGGAGATCCTGGGCAAGCCGGTGATGGAGCGCTGGGAGACTCCTTACATGCACTCACTGGCCACCGTGGCTGCATCGAAGGGTAACGGGGACCCCACGGGTTCTGGGACGTGCTGGGGGTGCAGATTCTCCAAAATCAGCTGGTGTGGGGGGAGATGTTCTGCTGGGGATCCCCACTGCATGTGGCCCCCGTGCAGTGACAGGGGCAGCAGGGCCGTGGTGGCACTTGTGTGCTTGTGTCAGGGTGACACATTCTTGAAAGGGGACGGGGACATGGGGAGGGGATGCAGCCACCTCCCATCCAGCCCCTGCTGCTTTTGGGGCTGTTTCCCCTCCCAGACCCTGCTGATTTTGGGGCTGTTTCCCATCCCAGGCCCTGCTGCTTTTGGGGCTGTTTCCCATCCCAGGCCCTGTTGCTTTTGGGGCTGTTTCCTTGCCAGCTGGACATTGTTTGTTCCCACTGGGATCAACTTGGGGGGTTTGGTGGGGGCAAAGGGCCCCTGTGGAGGGGCAGCAGGAGACAGGGACACAGGGGCAGCTCGGGAGGGCAGCAGGTGACAGGGACAGGGGGCTGCTCCCAACTTCTCCCCTCAGTGCCAGCAGCACCAGGTGCTCCCAACCCGCACCCAAAGAGCCCAATGTGGGGAAAGAATGGGTGAGAATTCAGGGCTGGGGGGGGGTGGTTTGAGGCAGAGAAAACCCAGAGCTGTGAGTTCCATGTGCAGGTGGCCGCGTGCTCGAGGTGGGGTTCGGGATGGCCATCGCTGCCTCCAAGGTGCAGGAGTTTGACATCGAGGAGCACTGGATCATCGAGTGCAACGAGGGCGTTTTCCAGCGCCTGGAGCAGTGGGCCAAGGCACAGCCACACAAGGTCAGGGGCACAGAGGGCTGTGCCAGGGCTGGGGGGTGCCTGTGAGCCCCCCCAGCTCACCCCTCTGCCCCCCATGTGCAGGTGGTGCCCCTGAAGGGGCTGTGGGAGGACGTGGTGCCAACGCTGCCAGATGGGCACTTCAGTGGTGAGACATGGACAGCAGCGTGGGGAGGGGCTGGGGTGGGGACCCCACTGCAAAGGGGGGGTGCAGCAAAGCCCAGGGCGTCCCTGAGCCATGGAAAGGGGGGAGAAGTTTGACAAGGGTGCAGGTGGACATCCTCCCATGGGGCTGGGGACAGGGCACAGCTGTGTCCCTGGGGTCCCTGTCCTTGTCCTGGGGCACAGATCCTTGTCCTGGACTGGATCCTTGTCCGGAGAAACAGATCCTTGTCCTGAGGAGCAGATCCTTGTCCTGGGGAGCAGATCCTTGTCCTGGGGGTGGATCCTTGTCTTGGGGGCAATCACATCACTCCCTTCCAGGGGGCAAATTGCAATAGGAACACAACAATACCAGGCCATGAAGGGGGATTTTCCCGGGCCATATGAGCCTCTCAGGGTCTCTCCCAGCTAAGGCCAGCCCCGCTGTTCCCGGACAGGGATCCTGTACGACACCTACCCGCTCTCAGAGGACACCTGGCACACGCATCAGTTCAACTTCATCAAGGTGACACCTCGGGCAGCGGCTCTGCAGGGAGCAG